CGCAAAAGGTGATTTATTTGAACATGGTTATCAACTTAGTAGAATAACAGGAGCAGAAAGCGCCGCACCGCAGCAGCAGCAACAACAGCAACAACAACGGGAACTACAACAGCGGCAGCAACAATATTCTGTGGGGCAGCCCCCCAAAAACAATGAAGAACAAACAATGCAACGCGCTCGCAACTTGAACTTGTGGCTAGAAAGTGCAGAGCCGTAAGATACGATTGCATTTACATGCATCCGTATCGCTATCAGAGCGCCTGCATCGGGGCGTGTGTGTGTCCATAGCCCCCTCCCCCTCCCCCTCCTCCCTTCCCTTTACCCCTCTACACCCTCTAGAAGCTCAACATCAGTCGCTGTGCGCGCCCAAGACACACACCCACAGCTGCATGTGGCACGAACCCGCGTCGACCGCGATTGAGTCGGAGTCGTTGTCTGGGCTTTGGGCTCGGGTTCGGACTTGGACTATGCAACTGGCAACTGGCAACTGGCAACCGGCATACAATTTGGCCGGCAGCGAAATTTATTTGAAATCAATGCTTCTTGTTGCATTCTTTAGTTGCTCTGTGCCACAAAAGTTTTCTTTTTATTTTGACTGTTGTTGCACCAGCAGCAGCAGCAGCCGCAGCGGCAGCCGTTACAGCAAACAGTGCCAACTGCTGCCGCGCTACATATGAAATCATGCGGCATATTGAATCATCTAATAAAAATCAGAAAAATGTGGGGGAAAGTTACTTGAATAAATTCTAAAGGTAATCAAAGGTGTGTTCGAAGGGCGGGCATATCAAATCCTGCCCATAGATAGACTTCCATCGCAGGTTCTTGTCTTGTCCAAATTGTCTGTAAATATATTTTGTGTCTAGCATAGCACCTGCTTAGTCACAACATTCTATATAAAATTTGAACAGAAAAAAATATATATAAAATCTAATTTGCAGTACAGTTAAATAATAACCTACTACAACTATCAAAATAAAATATATCAAAACGGATTATATTTAGATATATCAATCTTATAGATCTTCTCTCAAAAATCTCATACCTTTTTCTTCTGAATTTCTCAAACTTAGCTCTTATTTTGTTATTGGACAAATAAAGATATATTTAAAATAATGCTTTAGATTTTTTCATTCGACCCGACTCTTTAAAGCAACATTTGTGTGACTCTCAAATAATCACCAAAGCCAACAAATTTGGGCAGTTGGGAGAACTGTGACCAATTGCAGTGCAGGCAGTTCAGAGAAAGACAATAATTGAATAGTGTATACATATATATATGTATATAGTATATAGTATGTGCAATACTATATGTTTGGATCTAGTCGTATGTGTGCGATTGTATTATTATTTATTATGCATTTCCTTACGATGATTTTAACGGCAGCTGATTTAATGTGCATGTTTTATTTTCTTCTCGATTTTTTTTCTCGCCGCAACGGTCACGAGTTTTGGGGGCAGTGTTAACACCGGCCCGGATTTTGGCCAAGGCATAATGCCCGAATAGCAATACGAGTAATATTTGACCATTAAAATGCAGTTGTTGCCACAATCGATGGGAAATGATAATGAAGGCAAACGGTAAATGGGAGAGATAGATGCAACTGCAACAAGTTGCCCGTTGCCAGTTGCCAGTTGCCCGTTGCCCGTTGCCCGTTGCCAGTTACCAGTTGCCAGTTGGTTGAGTGAAATCGATACATATTAGAACTGGAGGCAGTTGGTAGCTTGGATAGTTCTCTGATAGACTTCGACTCAAACTCAGACACAGACCTCTGGCCAGTGGCTCTGACTTTGACTTTGACTTTGAGCTGGAGAAGCAAACAAAAAGCCTGGACACAGTCGCACGTCAAATGCATTTCGTTTGGGTTTTGTTGAATGCCAGACCGAAGGCTTTGGCTGGCTAGCTACGCTTTTGATTTTGATTCTCATTTTGTTTGCCTGCCTGTCGAAATCTAAAGTCCAGCGACCACCTTGGAGCTGCACAAGAGTCCCAGCTGAAGCTGGAGAGTTGCAGTTGGAGTTGGAGTTCGAGTTGCTGCCAGGCAAATACGAAAAGCCGAATACAAAGTTTGCTTAAAATTGTAATTTCGAAAACAAAGTTTACGCTTTCCCAAAAATAAAACAAAAATTGTTTAAGCCAATAGACAGCCCCTTCTCCGTTCCTCCACAGAGCCTAAGTCCGCTGGCTGCAGTCGCCTGTAAAAGTGTGAAATACCATGGCCATGGTATTTACCTTTGCATTTAGAGGCCTCTTAACTCTCTCAACTCCTAACTCTTTGCTTATATTTTGGCCATTACTAAGCAGTCTGCGTCGGCGTCGGCGTCAGCGTCGGCGTCGGCATCGGCGTTGGCGGCGACAGCGCTTTGATTAATGCCAAACTGCGCACAATTCACAAGATCTGCACAGGTTTTCGGTGCGCGATTCACACATTATTCATGTGCATTGTTCCGCGCATCGCAAAATAAACAAAATCTAGACTCAAGAATCTGCAACCATTCTTTTGGTTAACAGCGCTACCAATCCGCATACTCTGGCCCCCCTCGACCCTCGACTCTGCTACCCTGCTCCTATCTTCTGCTCAATTCTCGGCTCTGTGCAAATTCAATGGCTCTTTGCATACATTTGCGTTTAGCCAGCCATGCGTAGCCAGAAAGGCCACAATACAGCTAAGTACATTTAACCGAAACGAGATCGAACAATCGAAATTGGCTTGAGACCGACCTATAAGTACTCTTTTTGATATTCGTTCATATTCTAACCTTATTAGAATTGTACTGGGAGGGTCAATTTTTATGTTATATCATTAAATAATAAAACTCTCAGGACCCTAATATATTTCATATTCTCATATTCATATTCAATAATGCACTAATGAAACTGTTTTAAATAATCTCTGATAGCATTATTTTTAACATTTTTCATTCCTGAACTTCAGAACTGTTTATCTCCAAAGTAGAACCGGTGAAACCTAATCTAACCTATAATCAGATCGGCTCTATTCAAATATATATATTTCAGTTCACAAAGCTGACAGCTTAGTCAATATACTTTTCGCTACGCTGTAACTCTATCGAAAGGCAGCTCTAGCAAAAGGCAAAAGAATTGCAAGTCTCGCGCAAGTTGCAAGTCGCCAGCGGCGGCGCAACAACAACAACAACAACGGAGACGGCAAGCAACAATGGCCATTGAGTTGCTGCTGCTGCATGTTGTTGTTGTTATTGTTGCTGCTGTTGCAGCCTGCCCAAAAACAAAGGCCAAATAACAACAAAGCGCAGCAAAAAAAAAAACGACGAGAAATATGTATATCAGATTTAAAATAAATGTAACTGCGCGGCTCATTATGCTGCGCTTACACACGGAGTGGCAGGCAGCAGGAACCTGCCCCCTGGCCACAGCTGGCTGCCCCAACGGGCCGACCAAATGGGGCTGGCTGCTGCCGCGGCTGCTGCTGCGCATGCTCAACAGTTGGTGCACTTAATGGCCTGGGCAATCAGTGGCTGCCGCCTCCCCCGTAAGCCTGCCGCACGGCCCGAGCCTGTGACTCTGTGCAGAATATGCTGCTGCCAGCAACATGCTGGCTAGTTAGGCTGGCAAGGTAAACCTGCAGCCTAGCCGCATCGTGTGGCATGGCCAACGCATTTCGTATTCGCATTTAAATAAACATTTTTCAGTTTGGCCACAAAGGAACGCGCATTGTTTGGCTAAACGTTGGCGCGACTCAACTGGCTAGATCTGCGGCGCAAGTGGCATGCCACACAGCTCCAACTTTCACTCCACATAGAACAAAGCAACAAATGTCTTGCCTCTAACTGGCACGTGCAGCTACTCTACTGCCCGCCTTTCCCCGCCATATTTGCATGCACATTTCATATTTTCCATGGGGCTTTGGCATTCGCCAAGACGGCAAACAACTCAATCGATTAACATGCATTTGCAGTTTGTTATCGGACTGCTCGTATCTATGCAACGTGTGCGCCGCACACCACATGCCACAAATTTGTTGCAACGATTAGAGCCGGCTGCAAGAAAAAAGAAAAAGAAAAGAAATTGCAATGCCATTCGCTTATTAATTACCCACGATAGCAGCCACTGAGTGACGCATTTGTTAATGTTGCCCCGCGTGCCCCACGCTTACCTAACGAAAAAAAAAAGAGAGAAAAATGAAATAAGTTGCTGCCTGCAACTTTTGGTGGCAACTTCAAGGGCAGCTCGGCAACATTCCTCACTGTCTGTTGCCAATTATGATTGAATTTTTAAAATTATTATCCCTAGCTGGAGACGAGTTTTTGCCCAGCTGCTGTCCGGCGGCATATTTTGTCACTTTGAATTAAATACTTTTAAAATGTCGCAAATTCTTTTTGTAATAAAAATTCTAAAGGGCAACGAGCAAAGGCGGGACAAACCAAACAGTTTTGTTAAAGGGAAGCTTATAAAAATTCATAATTGGGCTTGGGAACATTTATGTTTCAATTAAAAATTTTAATTTGACATTCAACTTGACTCACGTGTGAAATGCTTAACAGTGTTGTTAATTTAAGGGGCACCACGACAAAAGAGTGTTGTTAAAGTCCACACAAATATAACAGTATAACAACTATGCTCTCCTTACCTGCTACAAATTTATTCTTAAAAATGATGAATTAGTGTTGACAAACGCTGCTCGATGTGTGTAATATCTAGCTCATATCTAAAAACCATATTCATACATTAATAATGATAGTGTGCACTAGTGCACTAAGCCTACCGTCCAGCTGGCCTTGCGCGCATTCGCAGCTGCCGCTAATTATTTTAAACATTTCATATAAATTTTATCTGTTGAGCGAACAAGCATAAGCTATGTACATATATATATATATATTTTTTATATGCATATACATATATTACGATAGGAGCACGGCCCAGCTTTGATTCAACAGCGTTTAGCGCTACTTATCAAATTCAACTCAGTGTTTATGGGTCTTAAGTCAGAGGCGTATGTGTTCGACGCTTTGAAATTATAAATATGGGAAAGTATTTTGCTGTGTTTGTTGTTCAGTTAATAATTTTGGCACGAGCAAGCTTACAATCCGAAGAGATAAGTGAAAAGACAATTGAGGAACTTCAAAGTTATTTGGATGATTATGATAAATTGATCGGAGAAAATGAAGATAAGCTTAAAAAGCTGGAATGGGAATGGGAGCTGGAGATAAAGAACTTTGATTTTAATGAAGAAAAAACCAACGTTAACAACCAATTTACGGACTTGCAAAACCAATTGACCGAATGTCAGAACAACCAAACAAAGAAACAGTCAATAATAAGGAATTTCCTTATCAAATTCATGAAACTAATTGACGATAAGGCAAAAGAAATACAAAACTTGCAATCTAATATTACGGATGCTGACCTAAAGCTAAGAGAATGTTCTGATATTTCTAAAATAAGTTTTGAAATCTTCAACTTGAAATCTGCTCAAACGCAGATGGAAGAACAGATAACTAAATTGAACATTAAAGTTCATTCAAATGAAAATCAACACAGAGATTTCCAGGATCGATCTTCCGAAATTGAGCCATTAACGCAAAAAATATCAAAAATGGAATCGCAATTAAAACAAACAGAAAATACCATCCAGTCGCTGATTGTGAAAACTCAGAGCAATTTACCGGAAAGCTGCGCTTGGAGAGATGGAATTCAATTTATACAAGTGGCTGGTGCCAATCCTTTCGAAGTACTTTGTAATAACGTTGTGTTCGGCGTCGGCTGGTTGATAATTCAGCAGCGAATTGATGGCAAAGTTGCCTTCAATCGCAACTGGGCTGATTACAAAAAAGGATTTGGAGATTTTCATAGCGACTTTTTCCTTGGATTGGAAAAACTACATCGAATCACAAATGCACAACCGCACGAATTGTTTATTCGGTTAACTGATCCTAATAATGTACAATTTTTTGCTCACTATGATCATTTTAAGATCGGTAACGAGGCGAACGGATACTCTTTGGAGGTACTCGAAAATTACACAGGCAATGCAGGCGATGCCATGACTGAAAATAAGTTTCAAACATTTAAAACTGATGATCATGGTAATTCCTATCAAAATTATTGCCCAAACGGATACTCTGGTGGCTGGTGGTTTCCTTCTTATTCTTGTGGAAGAAGGTAAATAAATTTGTAATTTGTAACGGATATCAAATGATTTCAACGCTCATCTTGAATTCATTATAGTAATCTAAATGGACAGTACGACAATAAAGCGTTTTATAATATGTTCTGGGATCGTAATGTACGCCCCAGGCTTCTTCAAACTGTCTACATGGCGATACGGCCCAGGCCAGCAAGGCCGTAAAAACATTTTGATATGCTTGCTAACTAATTAATTACATAATATGAATAAATATACAATTTCTGCAGCTCAGTATTTTGGAAGTTGCATTGGAATGATACTCATACTGCAATCAATATTGAATTAATTAAATAATCTTGGTAGTCAAAATTTATATATGTATATATATTTAATTTTATTGGAGATGCTTATCGCGGACACAACTTTGGTATACCCTTTCTAGCCATTGTTAATGGGTATAAAAATCGCAATGCGCTTGTTTAGCAATTTCTTAAAACTCATTGAGTTTTGGTTCTTGGAATTCCAGAATTCCCAAACATAGAATTGCTTTTGTCGAATATTTTTGATTTCAGCAAAAAAAGAGATTTTTGATTTCAGCAAAAAAAGAGAAGCTATTCTAAGACACATTGAATGCAAATTCAATGAATTCCTTGCCGCGCCTTGACTCGACTTGAATTCTTGCTGTAAATACTGCCAGAAGGATCAACCATAGCTGGGCGTGCTACGTGGGCAGGTTGCAGCGTAGCCTGTGGCAATTGTGGACTTGTGCAACTGCAACCGTTGCACATTTTTCTTGCTGCATATTTATGTTATTTTAATATGTTTTTTCTTTATTATCTTTTCTTTTTTTGCATTTGCATAAAAACTCGTTGGCCCCGTTGGCCGTTCGAGTTAGTTTGTTGTTGCAACCAAACCCCCTTTTTGAGGCATCTCTCTCTCTCTTTTTCTCTCTGTTGGTCTTTCTCGAGAGTTCAGTTATTTTGCACGTGGGACGCACTTAAAGAATTTAAAGCATTTCGTTTTTGATTCAGCTATTTGGCTGAATGAAGCAATCACCACGTGTGGCAGCTATAAATAAATAGCCGAGTCTTTGGCATTTCTGCCAATAAATTGCACCAAATGAGCATTTAGCATTTTTAACGCCTCTTAGCTTAAGCCCCTCAGCGATAAGGCGACACGCAACGGGCCCAAAACGAGACCTCAAACCAAACGTCGGACTCAACGCTCGGTTCGAATTTCAGTCAGAGTCAGAGGCATGTGTTGCATGTGCGGCACGTGAGCTGTGAAACTTTTGACACGCCACATATTGCTGGCGCTGATCCCCCCACCTCGCCCCCGTCTAGCCTTTGGCTAGCTTCGGTCAACGCAGTCATCCAGCTGTGCAACCCAGTCTGAGGGCAGGGCTTAAAGGATATGCTGCTAGGCAGGAGCAGCAGCAGCAGCAGCTCCTATCATCATTATCACGCACGCACATGGCAGTTGCCACTTCCCACTAGATACTCTGTATCTGCGTCAGTCGTTGCCCCTTCCTCAGTCGCTGTCTCTGTCCTCTGTGTGTCATTAGGCGCTTTGCTCTCGACTGCGCTGTTTGTCACCTCGTTCAAGTGTCCAGCCTTTGCCTCTAATGAAGTCAACTGCTCGTGTGTGTGTGTGTGTGCTGCCCTACCTGAGAAGTCATTACACTGCACTACACTGGCCTCCACTCCAGTTCGGCCCACGGTCATGTGCAATGTCCCACTCTCAAGCCCTGTTCAGCTGCAAATGAAGTTCGTTTGACGACGAACTGTCTGAAAAACGAAGTCTAACCGCGCCTTCGGCTTGTGGAACTTGTTTCATTTGCAGCTGTGTTTCATTGCCATTCGTTTCGCCTAGCACGTGTGTTGCCAGTCGCTGCTTCGCTTCATGCTTAGCAACATTTCAGACTTGCAACAGGTTTGCGCTTCACAGCAACATCAACAACAGCTGACTGCAGAGCCTAGTGCAAAGGCCAAAGGGTTCATATGCAGCATTAAATAACAGAAACAAAAACTGTTAAATGTTTTATAATATAAATGAATATGGACATATATTATTGGCTATACTTCTATGCAAAAGGACATTTAGAACCTCGTTTTTCTAGATAGAAAAAACGAAAAGGCATGTGGAGAAAATAATAAGTGAAAATGAGACTTTCGGAAACCAGGTAAGACAATTCAAGCTGTGTTAGCTTGCAGAAAACAATATCTATATTATAAATTACTTGGATATATAGTATAGGCTAATTCTTATACATATAATGACACTCAAACACAGAGTCTAGGATGAGAAAAACAATATTAAAATGTAATCGAAGTCAGCTTTAGACTACTTAAGAATAAATTAAGACCCCTAAGCTTACAAAAGCGCCATAAGCAGAGGATAATTGATACAAGGAAAATAATATTGAAATCAGCAAAAAAATATGTTCACATAAAGACGACCACAAGCTAGTTGTTTGGCTTTGACATGCATTAACTCCCAGCAGAAACCGAAATCAATTTCAAAGAAATTTAAATTACATAAATTGTTCTGCATTCTCAAGATATGTATTTTGAGCTTATTATCAGGATATCTAAAGCTGAAGAAGCTTCTAAATGAAGAAATAAATGTGAAAGAAATACCCTATGTAGTATCATGGACTATTTGCAACTATTGCTTTAAAAATGTAAATGAGAATGATGAACAATGTTTTTCGCCTATTTTTATTAATGAACTCTTTAATTTATGCATAACAAGCGGCAATTTGATGTTGAAAACACAAAGTGCTAACTGTTCCGACTCTCGAACCACACGCACTGTTTATACAATTTCTGCCGCTTCTTTCTTCAACCAAACGAGAACATTAAGACGGGTCAAAAATCTTAAGTCGGTCTAACAAGTTGTAAGAAGTTTAAATACCAATCGGTTGACTACTTTACAGGCTTCTAACCTCGGATGTGCTTTTGTTAACTTCATGCACAAGTTCTCTTCTCCATTTTTTTTTCTTATTTTTTGATTACTTCATTAAGAGGACAACGGCAAATGCTGATAATAATAATAATTATGGCTCTCCATAACTTGAATTTTTTATGCCATCTCATTCAAATGCCACCCACGGCAGATCTATGAGTACATACATACTCTTATTGTTTGTTATATTGCCAAAGCCAAACAACTCACGATATTCTAATTAAAACACATACGCAGACCGTGGCAACAACAACAAGAACAACAACATTGTCATCATCATCATCATCGTCGTCGGCATTGTCATCATCGGCTTTGGCCTGGGCTCCCTTTTTGCGGTGTGTGAACTTCAATTCGATGAATTTACATCGAAACGTGATGCAGCACTTTTTGGCCAGAGTGTGGCAAGTCATGTGGACAAAGCTAATGTCTATGGATTTAGATGTGGATGTGGATTTGAATGTGAGCGTGTAGATGTATGTGTTGGTATATCTCTATAGTCAGTCAATGGATCGGATTGCGGCTACGAGCTCGTGTGCCATGTCTCGATGACATATTCCATTAAAGACAAGCAGGCATGTCCCAGAAAATTCTGCTGCGCCAAGAGGTTACCCTGTAAGCAACGAAGATAAACTGAAAACCTTAGAATATAAAGTTAAAGCATATGAATACTTAGAGTATGCTTGCCAGACAGATGCCAGATGCCATAACTAAATAAATCTTCTGCAAATTTAACAGAAAGTTTTATTATATGTATGCGTATCTAGGCGAGCGTGCTTGAAAGAGAGATGCCCGAAATAACAGCTTATTTTTGTTTTAAAGGTTTCAGCTTAGAAAGATGAAATACGTTAAATAGCTTAACCTAATATCAAGACCAAGTGTCTAAAGAATCTTGATCTTGATCAAAAAATAGTAAACTTTGCTCCAATATACCCCGCTCAACCAATTTCTATGACACAGGGTATGGGAAAAGGCACCGTGTGGCCCACATCTGGGCGCATGCATTGCATGCACACCTCATTTCTAGGCTACCTGACGAGACAGCTCATTGGAAATATATATGGGTTTGGCAGGCCCGAAATAAGAGCGGGTCGCTCGGTTGCGCATGCTCAGAGAAAGAGTCTGACAAAGTGACAGACCCATAACATACCACACACACGTGTGCTGTTCTCTGTACGTATATGTGTGTGTGTGCGCGCGGATGGAAACAAACCCAAAAATTCGTCTAATAAATTGACATTTATAAATAGTTCAGAGCTATAGAGAAAGAATTCAGTTCATGCACGCCGAGTGCGTGCTCGGGGCACATGTGTCCGCATATTGCAAGGGTCTGTCTGGGCATGTTACCTATGTATGTGCAGTTGCTTCTATAGGCCTAGAGCCCAAAACTATGCGCATATGCTCCAATAACCACCGTATAACTCAAGGGCAATGAGCTGCATAATTGCGCTGAGTAATTCTCACTTAAGTTTCGGGCGATTTCTAATTTAATTGCTTAGGGTAAAATATGTTCGAAATTTCGAAAAGGAATTCGTTGGATTTCGAGTAGAAATAAATCCATAAAACGCGCTAAAGAAAGTGAGACTAATGAGTGTACTTATTGCTTACTTAAAGGTTAGACATATTTATAAATTCGATTAGGATTTTTTCAGAGCGCTGAGCTGCTTTCTTTTTATAAGAAGAGAATTAATTTGTTTTAGAATTTTTTCTTAACACTAGGCAGATTGAAGTTAAGGGAGAGTGAGAAAGGTAAACAAATACAATTATTAAAATATATTATTTATTTTCGATTCAATAGATATATAACATAACAAATATATATATACATACGCACATATAAATTAGACATTGGATAAAACAGAAGAAATGACAAAATATTTGTGAATTGTATTATTTTAATTATGAATTAAACTTTTTATTTAGAAATAATTGCTGTTGCATTTATTTAAATTTGTGCTAAATTAAGAAAGTGAAAACAATGTTCCTGTTATATATTTTTGCTCAAATAAATTTCGGATGCATTATTATTATAAATTTATAATTCTACTTACTATTATTATTATTATTATTATTATTATTATTATTATTATTATTATTATTATTATTATTATTATTATTATTATTATTATTATTATTATTATTATTATTATTATTATTATTATTATTATTATTATTATTATTATTATTATTATTAGTATTAGTATTAGTATTAGTATTATTATTATTTTTATTATTAATTTATTCAAGATTATTATGAATATTATTAAATTAATTATTACTATACATTATCTCATTCATTATGCATTATCATTA